GTTCGGCTTGGAATCTCGCGTCTTGACCTGACAAGACCGAGCCAATTTTGCTTGTTTGGTTTTTTTCTAAAGTATGTCGCCCGCGTCCTGAAGCGTTGTACAGTTGTTCGAGCAGCATCGAGCTCATATCGCTCGAGACTCATGATGGTAGTGTTGAGATATGTATCCATGTTATCTAAAGCGATATCCCGCAGCGTAGCAATACTTGCACGATCTTCTCTAGAAAGCTGCTCGTCTTCATGATGCTCAGCAACAGGTTCTACACTTTTACGTTCAGCTTGAGACGTCCATGTAGGTAGTTCCACTGGTTGACCAGGCTTCTTTTTCTTGATTAAGGCCCCAGCTACTACTAGATGAAGAGAGTCAGCAATGCAAGACACATCAGCGACGACGAGCCTTTCAGCTGCACTGACTATGTTGGAGCCTCCATCGCGCAAAATTTAACACAGTAGTCCATAGGTAGCGATCTTTCTTCCACCATATTGTTGAGCGTAGCTGCTATGGCAGCTTCGTCGTGTATACCGGGGAGCTCGCGAGCCTCCAGTGTCCAGGTTCGTGCCTCAAACGGCTCGGTGACAAAATGAATTGTCAGCGGAATGTAGCACCGGCCATTTTGCCCAATCCAAGTGTCACCTGTCAGCGAGTAGTAGATGCAAAACTGCAAAATATCATCTTTTACGCGCTTGCGAAATATGGAGATGTGCTTAATCTGGACCTCCAAGGCATAAAAATTCGACTAGGATTTTGGTTGGTGTCGGCGTGTCGTTTCGTATTGTGACATGGTTCTATGTTGGGTATGGACCGCAGAAGTAGATTGAGGAGCCATCTGAATATGTTTTTCGTGTCTGATGGTCTATCACAAGAGCGTGGATCTGGATTATGTCGCTGTTTTCGGGGGGGGGGGGGTTGGGGGAACCGAGGAGACTGGTGTCCGAGGGTGGCATCCGCGCGGTGGTGTCTGAGGTAGGTCAGGGCCACAGTGACCGGTATGGCGCTCACTCCGGAACAAACGGCTGTCGTGCTCACGTGCCTGCACCTTGTCAAATAAGGGATATCCCGGTGTTGGCATGCGTGCTGCACTTACTGGCAGTGCTTTTAACGTGAATTCTTCACCTCCACAATCCACGCTCCTTTGTAGTATACACTTTCCACCGTGAATCGAAAGGGACATCCAGTACCGCGAAGCTTGTACTGCTTTCTTTTCCCCTCCACGACGTCGGGCCCCGGAACCGTGTGTGCAAATGTATCGACGTCGCCAGCGGGGAAGGGCTTCTGGAAAATAGCGGACACTACTACCATTTTTGGCACGTTCGGACTCGCGCAGCAGTTTTTTTCTTTTGGAGACACTATCCCCGTCCTGAACAACTAGATGCGCGCTTTCCTCATCGACGTACTCAGCGCGATAAGTCAGCCATGCATCCCAGTTCGCGTGGGGCCAACGCAGCCTTTTTCCTTCGAACGAACTCTGGAGCGTTGACACATTGTCCAAAGAAGCGTCACTTTCATCCCGAGCTAACTGCATGCCCTCCTCTTGCTGCTCTTCTTCGGCAAAACTCGCCTTCCCACTGTGGAGCGCTGACACAACTTCTCCGGCACCGTCGGAGTCGCCATCGTCCTTGCCGCGATATTTACGCTTCATGTTTCTACGCCAGCAAAAAATAGGAAATGAGAGCTCGAAAGGACTTAGTTACCGGTTTCATATTGTCGTACGATCAGAAATTTGATATCTTGTAATGGGTAGGGTAAGAGGGATTCTTGCTCATCTTCGTAATTTACTTTTTTTTAGCTTACAACCTAGTCAATTACCTATTGTTATCCTGGTTTTCAACCAGGGCCGATCCGGTGTATTTATCAGATTTGGCGGGTTTTGCATCGACATGATTCAAAGATGCCTTGTTGCCCAAGACCTTGATTTGAGCCTTGCTCTAGATAGAGGCCACTGGTTTTGGGCAGCGTTAGGCTTGTACGGAGCAACGTGAACAGTCACCACTCGGGGAGAAGACCAGAGCGAAGACCCATGAGGGGAAGAAGAAAGGTTCCGAAGTTATTGTTTTCTCGGAGATTAAACTGCCCTGACTACCTCGGTAATCCAATCACCAGCACTCGTTTAATCATCCTACTCGTCTAATCATCGATAGCTTAATCAGCGTACCGTAATCATCGCGGGATCGTGTTGGACCGGATTGTTTACTGATTTATGGATGAATATCATCAATTCTCCGACCCTACTTGATTTTATGTTGGTATTAATCACCAATCATCCATTTTTATTTATTAGACAACCAATCGTACGGTCTTGACAAAAAAATCCAAATGGTAACGGTTAGGTTGGACCTCGTTGGAGTTGGCTCCGACATATCGGGTCAGAGGGGACTCAGGAAATATGGATATGTTCTTACAAATTTCAAGATGTAGGCATATCACATGCATAAAGTCATTTCTTCGACTTCTCCGAAACCAGTGCAATCATTGCCACAAATTATTTTTAAATCTTATACTTATTATGCTACTGGTAGTAAATTGTAGAAGAGGTGGGAAGCAGCGCCGCATCGAGCTTGCTCGTAATTAGGAGCAACACATGCAACAACCCCTGCTTGGAGATCAATTATTTTTGTATTACGAAGAGCAATATGTAGCAAGCGTCAATTAAAGGTACATGTATTGCATTATTAATATTTGAAGCACTCCGGCTCGCTGCTTCCTGTGCACAGCCCTGCCACCACCCTGCCGCCGCCTCCACCTCAGACTCCTTCCCCTGCTCTGGTTGCTTTTGTGAATACATTTTTCATTGTGGCCCATGGGTAGAAAAGAAAACATAATATATATGTTTTAGCAATTACTGGCTTAGAGGGCAGTACCCATAACATAAAATCTCTGTTCTCCGACAATCTCCGACCTGTACCAAAAAGGTACAGGTCGGAGATTGTCGGAGGGCAGAAATTTATGTTATGGGTACTGCAGCGGGGCTGCCGTAGCTTTAGTGTCAGAGGAACACGTGCGACTCAAAGAGTCACTAATTAAACGTTCCTTATCCAAAGGACACTTACAGCCCACCAGAGCTCAAAGTTAATACCTTAACTTTTATGCATCAAAACCAGAAGTGTTCCATTTACTATTATTGCGACCAAGCCACCTAGGAGTAAATGCATCTGTTTAACTAGCTAGCATATTTAAACCTAATCAAATGCATAACGTGTGGCTTTCAGTCAACGTACTGAGAGACCTTGTTAACTCTCCAACTTATGTAGTGAGAGTTTGTTAACTCTCCGGGTACTTCGTACCACTGTATGTTCCACACCATGTAGCCCCGTTACACTCTCCCCCACTAAAGAAGAACACTCCGTTCTCGAAACTTTCCTCAGCGAGGTAACAAGTCTTGTTAAGACGGCGGAGGCTACTACACCTCACACCAGCGTTGTACAGCTCCGCGAGCTCACAAACGCCTACGCATCGTTGATGGCCAGCTGCTCGTTGCCGGCCAACGGCTCAATGTTCCAAGTGCACCGCGGATCTTGTCCTTAAGCGTATTCAGACCTTTTCTCGCGCTCTGCGCCTACTCCAAGAGCTGCAGGACCGCTTAAAGCTATGCTCTTGACTCATCCGAATCGTCGACAACAGCTCGGCGGTTGAACACTCGCTTTACAAGCGATAGGTCGGTAAGTCGGTCCCACCAGGGCGTCGCCCTCTCGTTCCATGAACGATTGGCCACGCTTGGACAAGCTTACGGGCAACACCCGTTTTGCTCTGAAAGCCAAGTCACGCAGAAGAAACCTGAAGATGCCAAGGACAGAAGCAGGGTGGAGAGGTTTAAGGGCGTTGTCCGAGCTTTACTAGGCGCTAGAAACCTACCTACTCATGCGGTGTCGACAGTCTTCAAGACGAAGTTGAGGCCTCGGTTCATAAGACCGTTCAAGGTCGTGGCCAGGAAGGGCCTAGCGTATACGCCCAGCCTTCCGAAGAAGATGCGCACGCATCAGGTCTTCTATGTTGGCTTGCTTAAGCCATATCAAGGTCCTGCTCAGGTGAGCGCGGAGGCGTTGGCGCCGACCGTGGCTGGGCCACGACAGCTGCAGGGCAGCAGGTGGTAGAGCCACGGGAGGCTGAACGACAGCAAGTGGTGGACCCACAGATGGCTGATCAGCAGCATATGGCAGAGTCACAGGTCGTGGAGCGAAGTGCTTGAGATGCAGGAGCAAGGCAAGCTAAACGTTCAGCCTAGCGACTGGACGCTCAAGGTCTGAGACCTGGTTGTGAGTCAATTGTGGTAACCGTAAGCGTATCCACAAGGTGGGTCATCACTTTGATGTC